TACCCGAAAGCGATAAAAAATGCCCTACACATCGACTACCGAAGCATGCTTCTTCTCCCTGCGCGTACAATATTATCGCCAGGGTCTTAACCCCATTAAACATTGAATTTCCAGAATAATAAAAGACATGGAATACCGAGACCAACAAAAGCGACTTGAGACTTTTACTAATTGGCCACACTCTCGCTGGAGTAGAACTATCAGCCCCGCCAACCTATCCTCAGCAGGATTATTTTACCTTGGTTACAACGACACCGTGCAATGTTTTTCGTGTGGCCTACAGTTGTTTGGGTGGTTAGAAGGAGACAATCCGCGCGCCATCCACAAACGAGTTTACAGCCACTCTAAAATTATCAAAAATGAGGCATCAGGCAACGTGCCGATTGGCATTAACCCGGCTACCGTACCATTACCCCGCACAAGACGATCGGCACTACCCAGCAGAGGCCTCACAAATTTAAATCGGGAAGTTCACCGATTGATCCGGAGGACCGTTCGGCCGACATCCCCCGTTAGAATTCGAGAAATTCCTCAACCCGCTAATGTCGTTAAACGAACAATTAGCACAACGACAGTCACGACCTCAACAATCAGCCCTATAACCCTTGAAACAAGCAATGAAAGCCCCGAAGCAACCACGCCTGTGTGTAAGGTGTGCCTAGTGCAGGATTTGCAGATACTCTTTGTTTCCTGCAGACACGTAGTCACCTGCAAAGAGTGCGCAGAAAAACTAACAATTTGCTGCTTCTGCCGACAGCCAATCGCAGGGAGAATGGAAATATTTATCCCATAAAATAATAAAAATCATCTCAACCTAGCCATTCACTAACAATTAACACACCAAGCATGTTTTAAATTTATCAACTTTCAACGAGACGCTTCGCTCACTGGTGATAAGGGAAATATAACCATCAACACAAAGTTGCCAAGTCTGCATTTAATTTAACAGGGAAAAACAGGCAAAAAAATGCGGACCTACATCGTGGACATCCAGGTCTTGCTAGACGGAGCAAGTGAACGGTTCCCCAAGGAAATTGCCGCAGTAGGGGTGGAGAAATCAATCGTCGCCCATTGGACAATCAAGGCTAATCACCCAGCAAAGAAACTGCCACGGAAGATATTGAAAAAGAACCGGGACTTCACACGTCTGCGGCACGGAATTGAATGGGACGACGGGGAGTCAGACCTGTCGATGGTAGAGCAAGCCCTCCGCAACCTGTCGCGCTCAGCATCCAAAGTTTATTGCATGAACACAAAAAACATAGATTATCTGGTGACACTCATGTCATGCCCAATAATCAGCGCGACAGATGTGGTAGGATGCTATGATACCCTACCATACATTGAAACAAAATGTTTATTCCACGAGTTGGGGCACCGCACTGATCACCACTGCGCCCTCAATCAAGCCCTGCGGATGAAGGCATGGCTAATCGACCATGCTCGCGAATCCCCCGAATCTTCACAATCACCTGACCACACGTATGACGAAGTCTACGATCATCTCCACTCCCCATTAAACCACACGTACGAGACGGTCGTCTAATTTAAAAACCAACACTCCTTCTAAAAGGGAGGGACTTAACATCACCCACTCAAACGCAAATACAACAGACACACAAAATCGACACAAGAAACAAAAAAAACTCTTTGTTTCAGATGGGAAGAATTCCGCTTCTCTCCCTTCTGGGTATTATCCATGGCGTATGCGGATTCATAGCGTACGATTGTGGGACACCAAACGCGAACTTAACAACAATCTCCCTCTTGAGCGTGAAAACATGCACCATACAAGTGAGAAAACCGATAATCACCGAAACACATGTGAGACTACTTCAGTTATCAAGATTCCATAGTGTTCACATTAAACTCTGCCGCGTTGCCCTCGACCGTATAATTTACCAATGTGGAATGTGGTCCCACAACTCAATAGTCCATAACGGATTCGCCGAATATTTAGTGGGAATGACTCCAGAAATATGCCACGATATGCACCAACATATGAAATATCGTTTCGGTGACGCCCTATTCGTCGGGCTAGAGCCTAATCAAACAGTTGAAAAAACTGCAGTGCTGGCAGGGACCGTGAAATCCGACGGAAGCTGCGACGGAAAAGATTTTAGCGACAGTTATGGGTCATGGACCAATGTCGTAGTGGAGGCAAAATTCACGATGACCTTGCAGGATTATGACGCTGCCGTAAATCTGGATGAAAATCAGGTGTATCTCAACCAGGGCAAACGCTGTACTCTCTCGAAAAATGCCTGCATGGATATGGACGGGAGCAGCGCCTTTTGGACATCAGCCCCCAGCAACGAGTGCTCATTTGATGCATACGATGTGCTCTACGAGGGACCAGCTCAACGTATTTCCGATAATACCACAAGCAGTGAGAATGTAGAGGAAGTGTATTCTGTACAAAGCGGGGAAATAGTCTTCGGCCTGGCGAAGAAAGGAGTGACCACGCTGTGCGAGTACCGACTAATCAGCAC